ATGAATGATGATACAATGTTAGTAACTGAAGTTTATCGTTCATGATACTTGAGATACTTACTTACTTACTCCTGTTACCCTTCGTCGAGGAGCATAGGCCACCACCAGCATTCTCCATCCAACCCTGTCTTGGGCAATCCATTACAGTTAACATTCATCCTTTTTATATCTACTTCAATCTCCCTTCGTAATGTGTTCTTTGGTCTTCCTCTTTTCTGTTTCCCCTCACGATTCCAAGTTAGGGCATGCCTCGTGATGCATTTTGGTAATTTCCTTAATCCCTGTTCAATCTACTTCCAACATCTTTTCCTAATTTACTCTTCAGTCGGAAACTGGTTTGTTCTCTCCCACAGAAGGTTGTTGCTGATTGTATCCGATCAGTGAATATTAAGTATTTTGCGTAGACAACTGTTTAGAAATACTTGTAGCTTCTTGATGATGGTTATCGTAGTTCTCCACGTTTCAGATCCCTACAATATAACTAACAGTCTTGACGTTCGTATTGAAGATTCTGACTTAGATGTTGGCTAACAGTTGTTTTGAGTTCCATATGTTCTTCAGTTGTAGGGAGGCTCCCCTTGCTTTTCCAATCCTCGCCTTTACATCTGCATCAGATCCTCCTTGTCCATCAATGATACTTCCCATATACGTGAATGTTTTCAACTCTTCCAGAGTATCGCCATCAAGTGTGAATACACGAGATAATTAGTACAAAATTCACTAAACTCTAATGGAAGGAAACTATTTTTTAAATCATCTTATTTATTTAACAGTAACATATTTAACATTCTGTACAGTATTAGTAGTATATGATGAAAAATAACTTTGCACTACTCCTTGAATATTGATATTAAGTGAATTCAAACTTCACCCCATTGCACAAGCAAGTGGCTATCAGGACTCAGTAGCTAAGTGGATAACGCGATGGCGTTTGAAGCGAAAGGTACTGGGTTCAAGTCACAGAGTAAACATCAACTCTGACATACAGGTACATTCAGCTGACGAGTCTCAAACAGGACAAAACGCGCGTTCTGGATTCCACTACTAGCCACTATCTATCTTTGCTTATAATGCTTGTGAATAAAGACTAGATCGAGGCAATACGCACAATATGGACATATGCCAATAAGAGACTGACCAGTTGCAGTCCTAAACATCAATGATATTAATTAAGTTTGTTAGATTATTAGAGTTATTAGTGAATCATTTTATAATTATTATTCTTTAGAGTTCAATCATATCTGTTATGAGGCATTTATTCACCGAAAACAATGAATAAAGGGTTGTAAAAAATTAGAGATTGATTGAAGTTAGACATAAACACCTTTAGATTCTAGCTCAATGGTCTACAGGTTAAATGTTTTGAATTCGAGTCCCGTGTTCAGGATCGTAGATAGTAACTGATGAGGAGTTCAACAATAGGATGAAACGATCATCTATTGCTTCTAGATTTTCAATGATGATCTAGATTACATCAACTCATCAATTTAAACTATTATATTATACTTGTTCGAGTTCAAGCGTATGTTTCTTCTTAGCACAAATCATACAATTTTTTTGTTTTTGTTTTTGATTTTGTTTTACTGAACTATTTAATGGATGAAATAATGTTTGTCCAATTATAAAAACTTTAATTAATTAATCAATCAATCATTTAAAGATTATTATCATTATAAATGATACACTTTAAGTTTATGTGTCCTTATTTAGTGCTAATCAATATGGTGTAATTATTGATTAATCAATAAATTATTGATGATGATGATAATAACGATAATGATAATAAGGTCACTATCATAATTGTTAATGACAAATAGTTACTATTCATTAAAATTATATCTGAGTGATTATTATTATTAATTTATATTCAATGATCAGAAGGGAATTTCTGTGAAGATTTCAGTATTTTCATAGTTGAAAGTATGAGTCAATAAGAAGCTAGACCATCAAGGAAAACCTGGAAGCACTGTTTGACAGCTGTTTCATCCTATTGTGAAACTCCTGAGCAGTGCGCATCCACGATCTTGCTTCACGAGATTCAAACCTAGGACATACCAGTCTTGCGCGAGAGCACTTAACCGATAAAAATAATTAAGTAATATCAAATGAGATTATTATATGATTTGAAAATGTAGTTACAATTCAGTGTCAGTCAGTCAGTTAGTCAGTTAGTCATTTTCAATGTAGAACCAGGTATATATACGTATCGGTCCAAGTTGCCACACCTCATTAGAATAACAAGATGAACATTAAATTCATAGAGGTAGTTACTTCAGTGGTAGTAATATATAAAAGAAAGGTTGTATATAAGGATATAGTACAAGAAGAAAGACAGCTATGAAGCAATTTTAGTCTCACAGTTTAAGGGAAGACAGAGAGTGTATACACCTAGGCCATTGTGATCGATTCTGAGCCATATCATCCAGAGTCTCCAACAATTGGTCATGATAGTCACGCTGACCCCACAACCAAATAGTCTGCAAATAGTCTGCAACATGGCTCAAACTAGAAGTCAGTGACTTGAAGGACTGATGCTATGTTTTTGTTTGGCCATCCTTAAATTTCTTCTAACCATGTTCAACACTAGTCAGTATTGAAATGAACATAAACATTCTACATGTATATCTAAATGTGTTTGATTGTAGTTAGGATGCACGGAAAGTCCACCTAGGGGAGTTGGTAAACCCTCATTCCAAACCAATAGTGCACATGGGCTGGCTCCAGTATCCTGAGGGAACAAATGGTGTATGAATCAATCGTTGGTCACCGGCTATCATGAGACTGCATTTCCACACGATGCTCCACTGCCTTGTGGATCAGACCCTTAGGTCAAAGGCTCCGAGTGTGGCCCCCTAAGAAAATTACCTGTTTCCATTTGGGCACCCGGGCAGTGTCACAGCCCTCACACAAATCAACTAAGATTTGTGTGGCGCATACGTATCTAGTTCCCCTTTGTATCAATATTTATTTGTTCAAATAAAATAAAGGATACAGTGAAACATCTCAACATAATTATTATCAGTCTAAATTTGAATAAAGTTATTTTTAGTAGTTGAATTCATAAGTCAATCTGAGTTTGACCAATATTGAAAATCTCGAAGTACTTGGAAGCCGTTAAATCCTATTATGGGGGAATTTAGCAATGCGTATTCACGATTCTGCAAAAGAGACTGTGGCTCAGGACCTTTAGACTTGCTCGCTAACGTTTAACTTGTAGATCTCTGAGTCGGTATTAAATGATGTTAATGTCCAACTTCAATCGATCCATGATCATTCACAACCCTTCATTCATTGTCTAAGGTAAATAACTGTCTCACACCCGATATGGATTGAACTCCATTGGTCACGGCTACTCACTAGAAGTTCAGGAAACTCATCTTGAAGCTAGTTACTAATGAACACATGTTATTTTTATCGAAATGTGAATAAATGTTTAACCATCCCATTCACAATAAGTTGCTACTAACTCAAGTCGTGGTTTGAAACTATTGAACTCAAGAAACGTTACATATTAATGTGATCGCGATCATTGATCGGAATATTTATACACGGTATGTGAATGTGTATATGAACAGTGCGAATGGTCCACCAGGGTGTTCAGTTCCTGAGTGGTTGCGCCACAGGATTGGGCTGTACTGTTCAGATTGTAGCGCTGAAGCCCATATAGTGTCTGATTCTCCTATAGGGTAGGATTGGTTTGTACTACTTAGGTTAAGCTTGGGCAATGTCTGACCCTCCTGTTAAACGGGATTGAGCTATACTGTTTGGGTTGCCACGTGAAAGTCTGTATGGTGTCTGGTTCTCCTGAAAACCGGTGTAAGATTACTCTGGCCCATAAGGGTATACTATATAACTTATATAACTGTACATATTAACGTGATAACTAATCTAATAACTTATTTTTTCCATATTTAAGTGACCATTGATGTTTCCCATTTAATTGTTTTTACATATAAGCAAAGATGGATAGTGGCTAGCAGTGGAATCCAGTTTGAAGCGTGTTTCGTCCTATTTGGGACTCGTCAGCTAGATGTACCTGCATCTCAAACTTGTTGATGTTCACTCTGGGACTCAAACCCAGTACCTTTCGCTTCAAACGCCATCGCGTTATCCACTTAGCTACTGAGTCCTGATAGCCACTAGCTTGTGCGATGGGGTGTGAATGAAGGCTATATCAAGGCAATACACATAGTATGCATATATACCAATTAAAGACTGACCAGTTGCAGTCCAAACACATCGATGGGAAGATTCAAACAAACAATACTAAATGAATAATTTTACATATATTTTGTCAATATAAAGTTAATTTTCATCATAGACTAAATTCAGTTAAAGACCTATTGAAAGCTAGACATACTGGACACTTGTTTTGTCCTAAATTCTTCATCGAGTATTTGATATGCACTAACTTCACTTACAACGAATTTTACTGAAACCAATAGATGCATGAATTGTTTTTTTCTTCTGAAAGGTAACTTCTAAGTCAATTAAATTACATTATCACATAGGCATATAATTTTTGGAAAGATAGCTGACTACTTAGATACTGTAAGATATTTAGGGTTAAATACTGAAATCTTGGTTAGGTAGTTGGATTTCAGTGAAAAGAAAAATATTGACCTAGGTCACACGTTTCCCAACACTAGGTAGTAAGGTGACAATGTGACCTTGAAAGAACTGGAGCTCCCTAGATGATACTATTTCAGTTTACCTAGATTCCTAGTGTGAAATGTTACCACTGGGCCTTTAGAGTTGAGACTGATCTGTTAAGGGACTGGGACATTTACAGAGGTCCAAGTCCCTGATTTGAAGTCCCTGAATGCTTAGATAACTAAGTTGTTTTAAAGCACCTACCTATCCTCATTCAGATAATGCTTGTTCTAATATTTTCATTCGTTTCTCAACATTAGAATGATATTTCTCTTTAGCTCAGTTATTTCTCTTTTTCAGAATTCTAAGTGGTATTCAACCTTAAAAATAGGACTAGATTTGTCAATATGAATAGTACTGTCAATTCGATGAAATCAGAGGACTTAACGCCCTTAGACCATCTATCAAATGTTAATCAGGATGAAAATATTGACATTTGTATGAATCGTAAGCATAAATGTTCTGACAGTTGTAATAACGAAGAGAATGAACCAAGTGAAGCGAAACGTCAATGTTTATCATCTGTTCATAGTTCAAATAATGTTACTGATGGCATAAAAACAAATTATAAATTTAAATATTGGCTTGTATTCACTGTGGTAACAGCTGGTAAACAAGGCTGTGAGTTGGGATCTGATCAGACACCAGTTATTCAATTCAATGGGATATTGGGTGATTTTTTCGAGAATAAGGTGAGTTGTGTCAATGGATGTAAATTAGTTTAGTGTTTAAAAAATGTCTATGGAATTATGTATCACTTCTAATGTGTTTGTTTTACAGATCAATAGAATGAGGCTTCGAAATTTGAATAGTTAATTAAATATACTATATAATCACCTGTAGGCGTCAGATATTTCAGGGGAACTCTTGTTTAGTGCTGTGTTGTTTTTGATTACTGTCCTAACTTTCAATATATTCATTGGTTTAATCATAGGAATTTCGATTGATTTCGCTCCATAAAGATTAAATAAACTGTCAACGCCACATTTTAAATAGATTGATAAGAGGTAATACCATGGTAATTGGTAGATAATTAATTGAAAATCACGAGAAGTTTACAGTTAACATTGGAAAGGATAAATCACTCAAGTATCAGTATTTAGAGATTTTTTGTAGTTAATTTAGTGAGAAACGGCCCTACATACTTTATTTTACTTACTATTGTTACCCATCATCGAGGAATATAGGCCACTAACCAGCATTCTTCGTCCAACTCTGCCTTGGACAATCCTTTTTAGTTTTTTCCAGTTAACATACATCCTTTTCATTTTTGCTTCAATCTCCCGGCGTAATGTGTTCTTTGGTCTTCCATTTCCTTCCGGATTCCAAATTAGGGATTGCCTCATGATGCAGTTAGGTGATTTCCGTAATGTATTTCTGATCCACCTCCAACGTCTTTTCTTAATTTCCTCTTCATCTGAAATCTGGTTTGTCCTCTCCCATAAAACACTGTTGCTGATGGTATCCAACCAGTGAATGTTGAGTATTTTGCATAGACAACAACTGTTTATAAATACTCGTACGTTCTTGACGATGGTTGTAGTAATTCTTTACGTTTCAGCTCCCCACAATATAACAAACGTTCTTGATGTTCGTATTGAAGATTCTCACTTTGAAATTAGTTGAGAGTTCTTTTGAGTTCCGTATGTTCTTCAATTGTAAGAATGCTGTCCTTGCTTTTCCAATCCTCGCCTCAACATCTACATCAGATCCTCCTTGTTCATCAATGATGCTTCCCAGGTACGTGAATGTTTCCACCTCTTCCAGAGTTTCTCTATCAAGTGTGATTGGCTTGGCGTTCTTCGTGTTGTATTTGAGAATCTTGCTTTCTACTTTATGTATGTTGAGGCCCGTTGATGCAGAGGCTGCTGTTACATTTGCTGTCTTCGTCTGTATTTGTTCGTGTGCATGGGATAGGAGGGTTAGATCATCTGCGAAGTACAAATCATCTAATTGATTCTGAGATGTCCATTGTGTTCCGTGCTTCCGCTAACCAGAAAAAACAAAATACGCTAACCTACGTACTTTACTTTAACATAAATAATCTGAGATGTATGGTGGCTACTAGTAGAATTCAAGTCGAGCATTTCATCTTATTTGGGATTGGTCAGTCGGATCACTTCATAACTCAAACCCCCTACCTTCTGATTGAAACTCCATTACGTTATCTACCTAGTGCTACCTGGACATTACTGTTAACCCCCTATCCATCTCTCCTTAGAATGCATTTAACTTAATAGCAGCGTTGAAGCAATCCATTAAGAATGTTTTATGAATTGTGATTTTAGTTTCAAATCGTATTTTTCTTCCTTAGTTACATATATGTGAATAAAATCAAAGGCCCACCAAAACTTTTCTAGATCTTCAAACCAATTTTCAAATTGAATAGTTTAAAGAAAATGTAAAAGTAAGTTAAAGGGCATATTCAATATTATTACTAGTGACTGACTTCAAGAGGTACTTCTTGGAGTTCTAGTGAGAAGCAGTGACCAGTGGAGTTCAAACCACGTCTGTTGTAAGATATCAACTAACTAAAGACAATTGGTGAACGGTGGCTCAACTTCGTGGATTGGTTGAAGTTAGACATTAACACCATCGGACGCCGGCTCAGTGGTCTATCGGTTAAGTGCTCTGGTGTGAGACTGGTAGATTCTGGGTTCGAATCTCGCTAGTCAGGATCGTGGGCGCACACTACTGAGGAGTCCCACAATAGGACGAAACAGCCATCCAGTGCTTCGAGGTTTTCCATGGTGATCTAACTTCAATTGATTCATGATCTCAACTATGAAAAATTTTATTACATTGTTTGATTGACATTTCACTATTTAGTGTTGATAGCTTATTCCAAACGATAATTTACAAAAAAACTCAACTTATATACACAATAAGTCGATCAAAATTCTTTACTTATAATAGAATTCTATGATGTTAAGTGAATACATTGATAAAGATAATAGACAGGTATAAATTGATAGATTTGATCAGTTCATATATTCTAAAAAAAGAACACAGCATGTATTAAAGTGATGAAAAGATTGGGTGTATGTTGAGACCTATTGATACAGAAGCTACTGCTACATTAGTTGTCTTCGTCTGTATTTGTTTGTGTGTATAAGATAAGAGGGTTAGGTCATCTGTGAAGTACAAATCGTTTAATTGATTTTGAGATTTCGATTGTATTCCTTGCTTCGCCTCACATGTCCTGGTCTTTATAATTCAGTCAATAACCATTAGAAAGATGAAGGGGGAGAGTAGATAAACAACACGGAGAACACCAACCCAGTTACACTTCATGGAGAAACTCTGGAAGATATAGAAACATTCACGTACCTGGGAAGCATCATTAATAAACAAGGAAGATCTGATGTAGATGTTGAGGCGAGGATTGGAAAAGCAAGGACAGCATTCTTACAATTGAAGAACATACGGAACTCAAAAGAACTCTCAACTAATTTCAAAGTGAGAATCTTCAATACGAATGTCAAGACAGTTATTTATATTGTAGGGAGCTGAAACGTGAAGAATTACTACAACCATCGTCAAGAACGTACGAGTATTTATAAATAATTGTTGTCTATGCAAAATGCTCAACATTCACTGGTTGGATACCATCAGCAACAGTGTTTTATGGGAGAGGACAAACCAGATTTCAGATGAAGAGGAAATTAAGAAAAGACGTTGGAGGTGGATCAGAAATACATTACGGAAATCACCAAACTTCATCACGAGGTAATCCCTAATTTGGAATGGTGAAGGGAAGCGGAAAGGAGGAAGGCCAAAGATTACAACGCTGGGAAATAGAAGCAGATATGAAAAGGATGGATGTTAACTGGGAGGAAGTGTTCATGCATTCCGATACTAATTGAGTGCCGTTACCGTTCTCCTCTTATTGATCTTCTACTGAAATACATTCAATTCCCGACCATCGTTATATACTACTTGTGTAGACATAAGTAGCCCACACCATAGAAGCATCGTCCAAGAAATAGAATATTTAAATAGTTTTAATTAGAAACATGATCCGACCAATATTAGACCACCAGTAAAAATCTGGAAGCACTGGACAGCTGTTTCTATTTAATACAAGGGGCCTCACTAGTACACATCCACAATCCCGCATGAGGGACTCACACCTAGAACCTCCACTTTTATATGAACGCTTAACTTCTGTATCACTGAGTTCGAATGCTACCTGAGAGATCATGGAAACATACTGTTGAGAAGTCTCGCACAAGGACGAAACAGCTGTCCAATGCTTCCAGGTTTTTAGTGATGGTCTAACATTGATCGATTCATGATTTCGATAAATTTCATTAGACTTCAAAATTCCATACTCAAAGCTAAATAATTTTGTTTGAGTAATATGAACAATGTGATGAATTTATGAATTTGTACCTATCGTTAGAAAACAGACTACTTCAGACTGTAATATTTCATACATGTTATGTGTTGTACAGTAAACCTAATAAAGCGAGGACATTAAGATCAACCAATGTTGGTATCAGTCACTTAGTGTACTACAGTTATTGATTGAGTAGTGACTGGTTATTCTCAAGAAAACAAATTATTATGAAGACATATTCTGTTTTGGATAACTCTAACTGGTTCTGACATTTTAATTGTTTTGTTGTTTTCATTATTTACTTACGCCTGTTAATCCCAATGAAGCATAGGCCACCGACCAGCATTCTCTAACCCATTCTGTCCTGGACCTTCCTTTCTAGTTCTATCCAATTTTTGTTGATTTTTCTCATATTTGTTTCCATTTGTCGGTTTAATGTGTTCTTTGGTCATCCTCTTCTCATTTGGACAAGAGGGTTCCAGGTGAGGGTTTGTCTTGTGACGCAGTTGGGTGATTTCCTCAATGTGTGTCCAATCCACTTCCAGTGTTTCTTCTTGATTTCCTTCTCCACTGGAATCTGGATTGTTGTCTCCCACAGTAGGCTGTTGCTGATAGTGTCTGACCAACGGATTCGAAGTATTTTGTGTAGTAAGGTGTTATTAAACACTTGTATCTTCTGTATGATGGCATTCGTAGTTTTCTACGTCTCCATCCCATACAGTAGAGCTATCTTGACATTTGTATTGAAAATTCTGATCTTATTGTTGGTTGACAGTTGTTTTGAGTCCCAGATGTTCTTCAATTGTAAATATGCTGCTCTTACTTTGCCGATCCTCGCCCTCACATCTGCATTTGATCCACCGTGTTCATCAATGATGCTGCCCAGATATGTAAGGGTTTCCACATTCTCTAAAGCTTCTCTGTCAAGTATAATTCGATTGGTGCATGTTGTATTGTATCGGAGAGTCTTGTTTTTCTCTTTGTTTATATTGAGACCTACTGCTGTTGAGGCTGCTGCTACATTGGTCGTTTTCTCCTGCATTTGTTGTTGCGTGTATGGTAGAAGAGCCAGATCATCTGTGAAGTCTAAATCGTCCAGCTGCATCCTAGCTATCTATTGTATCCCGTGCTTCACTCCAGATGTTGACGTCTTCATGATCCAGTCGATCAGCAGGAGAAAGAGAAAGGGTGAGAGTGAGCAACCTTACCTAACACTGATCTTTACCTCGAATGAGTCGGTGAATTGTCCTCCATGAACGATTTTGCAGTTTAATCCATCATAGGAGTTGCGTATGATATTGACTATCTTCTCAGGCACTCCGTAGTTTTAATTCATCCTGATATATAATCAGTTGCCTCAAAGATTTGAAGAATGATACTATAAATCAATCTAATTTTTCCCTTTGTTCAACATTTATTGAGGCTATTGATTTGACGAATAAGAAATGTCAGAGTCAGTAACTTCCGTCAAACATTTTCAAACCTTCCATTATACATTGTAAGTAAAAGCTTTCAATTCATTAATCTTTTTCTATCTACACGAATTTTCTAGATTGTTGATCGGATCAAAATCTCTATTCGACCTGAAAACTTTGCTCGAACATATCGGTCTTCCATAGAGCTAATCAATAATAAATCTCAATTACAATCGAATATTACCTCCAATAACGAGTTGAAATCAGATTATTTTTTTTCTCCTTGGAACAGTTGCAACAATAAAATCAATGAATTAACACCTACTAACACAATGAAATTGATTACTTCAGTCGAATCGCCTAAATACACTTCAGCAGTACATGGTGTGAATATCTCTACAGAAGCATTAGAAGCTGCTGGTTTACAAGATATCACAGAATATGAATTAGATGGTTTAAGCTTTAGAGAATCAATAATTAAAGTGAGATAATCTTTTGTTTATGGTGAAGGTTTCTTAAGTTTTTGATAGATATGCAATCAGTTGATGTAGCTATACATAAAAACATTCTAGTTATTCCGTAAATGTGATTTAATCCAGGTGAAAGTTTTCCTACAGCAACAATGAATGACTGAAAAAAGGATTTTGAATTGTAGTGCTTCAGTAGTCAGTGGTGCATATTGCCTACTTACGACTGTTAACCCTCGTGGAGGAGCATAGGTCGCCTAACAGAAAAGATGCATAGTACAAGAGAGTTTAAAGATTTCGATTGAATAATTATATCTATGAATACTACTGTACATTTTGTTTGCAAATTTTTATGTTAGTAATTGTAACCTTATGGTCTTTAATCCCTATCAAATCCACATTATTCAGTAAGTTAATCAACATTTACTTAATATCAGCATAGGATTGTGAAGATTGTTGAGTTTAGTTCGATATTATGAATGGATCAATGTTAGACCATTATTGAAAGCCTGGAAGCACTGGACGGCCGTTTCGTCCTAATATTGGACTCCTCAGAAGTGTGCATTCACGATTCCGCATACAAGACTCGAACTCAGGTGTTTCGGTCTGACGCGCAAACACTTAACCTCTAGACCACTGAGCCGGAACCTGACGGTGTTATTGTTTAACTAATAACAGGAAAACTTAGTGAATTATAACTCTTGAGAGATATTCGTAACCTCTCACTTTACCATTGAAATCCTAAAGTTCTAATACGTACTCTGTTTAAAGTAAGTTATAACTTTTGGATATCATCACCTAATTCATTTAGATTAAAAGTACACTCATACTGTTTAGTTCTCTTAAAATATACTTTTTTTAAGCACTCTCACGTGAACATGAACAATGAAAAAGAAAACAATTAGTATATTCTACACTGAATCATCTGAGTAGAGTTGATCGTTGTAAATAACAATCTGTTTTCTGATGATCTTTGTGGGGATGTAGTGCCGTGTTTCGTTGATCGTTCACCTTGATAACCGTTATAATACAAAATCTTAACGGTGGATAAAATCAGAAGGCAATGAGAAGCGGCAGCTACAGTTCTATTGACAAATGACACAGGCCAGAAATTTATAAGCACATGAGTAAATATCAGCGAGCGAAGCAAAAAATGACACGTATTGGAGATAGCGGGTAAGCCAACTCGCTTTAATCAAGCTTTAATCAATATTTATAGTCCGACAAGAATAAGTTACAGACATGTGATGAATAGGAAAAGATGTGTACATACACATACGCTCATATAGAAACAGTCAGGGTTGACAAGTGAATAATTATCAAGTTCAAAACGTAAATCATGATGGGTAGGTAAATTCGCTTGTCCAGAAGCTAGAATATGGATATATGGGCTTAACATTTCAACCGAAATACAAGGAAATCGAACAATTTACTACACTTCAGGCTGAAATAGAAGACATTCAATGATTTGGTGTGAAACCTCGAGTAAGTCATTATTTACTTACTTACTTACGCCTGTTACTCCCAATGGAGCATAGGCCGCCGACCAGCTTTCTCCATGGCTTACATTATAACCATCTATTGTATTTAATGACGATCAATAAGCGAATTCCAACTTACTTTGATCTGTAATATAAGTAATTGTGCTGAAATTTTCAATTACAGATTTCAAATTGGTTAAAAGATCATGGAGTACTAGATGATCAATTGCCAAATGACAAGTCTAATATATTACTTATTGCAGAAAATCATCAATCTATACGAAATGTAATACATGCTGAAGCTGCTTACCGTAATGTAGATCATGAATTGATGAATTGTTCACCCTGGTCAGTGTATATAGATTTGATTGAGTCTTGTCAACAGTTTCTTCTTCAATCCAATGATTTTAATGATGATGTTGGTGACAAAGGAGTCACTGAACAGAAGGAGAATAAAGAACATCCTCTGCATAACATATTTGAAGCTGCTCGTGGTAAGTGAAGATTTAGCTTTGAAAGAAGTTGTTTAATTTTCTTAATGATAACGTAGATCAAGTGGTTATTCAGATGGTCACTGAAAAATAGGATGTAATGAGAAGTTGTTTTCCTGCATCGCAGAGAACTCCGACCATAAGGATCCGTTACCACTCTCGACATTTTGAATTGACGTCTGTTGATTACAAAAAAAAACGTTTTTTTTGTAGTTTTTTATTGTAAGACAAAATTGTTAGATAAAACCATAGTATCAACCCCATGAAGTCGCGACCGTGGTGTAGCGGTTATCATAGCTGCCTTCCAAGCAGTTGATCTGAATTCAACTCCCGGTGGTCGTAGGCGATCAACCCATGAAGTTGTTTCTGATTTTTTTGTTTAAGTAAAAAAAAACTGATTGAAAAATTATTAAATTATAAGTGACTAATTGATCGAACATTAAAAAAAACGCTACATTTGATATGCTTGATGCTATTACGAGTTCACCTTACTCGGTAAACGGAACAAAGTTCAAATATATGATAAGCTATTCTAATCCGTTGTCCTCGGCACCGCTAACTAGATCAAGAAGTCTTGATAAGGCGTAGAGAATGTTTTCTACAAGCCTCCAGGAAATAAGAGGTCACTTGACACACAAATTAAGCTTATTTATACAATAATAGAAACGACCTTGAGAGAGCTACGAAATAGCGTTTTAAAAAAATCCGTCAACCAATGATAGTCAAGGAATTCCAAGTGGGAAATGTAAGCTGTAGGTCAACTAAGCGTTTCTTGGCGCGAAAACATAAGATCCAAATTTTCAGAATAAAATGACAAAATTAGGACCTTTTACAAGTGAGTTCTGGGGATCTAACTTCTCCAACAACATGACAGAAATTAATGATCCAAAATTGCAAATATGAAGCTCAGTAACTATTTATTGAATTTAACACTAAAAATCAGCACAGAGTTGTAGAGATTACAATGTTTTTGATTGAGATCATAAACCGACTGATGTTAGACCACTATTGATAACCATATACCCATTAGTGATTAGGTTTGTGAGGGAATTCTCGGAGTTCTATTGATAACCCGTGACCAGTGGAGCTAATCCGTGTCAGGTAGAGATAGGTATTAACCTCAGTACAATGTAAGATGGTCGCTCAGTTTCGTGGATTGGTTGAAGTTAAACATTAACAACGTTGGATGTTGGCTTGGTGATCTACAATTTAAGCGTTGGCTCACGAGGCCGAAGGTCCTGGGTTCGAGTCCTGCAAGAAAGATAGTGGATGCGCACTAAATAATCAAATCATAGAAAATAAATAGTTTCCTTATTTAATTGATTTCTGTCTATTCATCTGTCAACCAACTAATGGATTAACTTTGAAAATAACTATTCAGATAATTTTTTCAATGTTCAGTAATTTAACCAGAATAAAAACATTGTTTATTTCATGCTGTTTATTGAACTGATTTTCCAGCTGTGTTATCAAAAAAAAGAAGAATATCAGTTGGATAAGACGATTGTTTGATAGTCAATCTGATTATTAATGTAGGGATAATAATCGGAGATAAGAAAAAGAATAATAACTTTGCCTCCATTGACTATAATTCAGGTTATGGATTATTCATGTATGGAAACCGTGAAACTTCTGTTCGATTCTATCAAAGGAAATTGCCACCAAATGGCCTGGTACGGTCGTAGGTGGGTACTCACATAGCCACGCGTATACAACCACTATTGGGGAAGTCTTATTCAATGCCTTCTCGTGGTATTACTGTTGTTTACGGAATTGAGAGGATGAAAAGTGAATGTCCATCGCTCTAACCGGGTTGGTTGATACTGAAGATTCACCTAGAAGAGTTGGAGGACTGTTATTCCAAACCAATGGTGTACATGGGCTTCAGGATTCTGGAGGAAAAATTGGCGTATGGACCAATTGTTGGTCACCGACTACTATGGGCCTACATCTCCTTATGTTGCTCCACTGCCTTGTGGATTAGACCTTTAGGCCAAAGGCTTGTGGTGTGCCAACCTAAGGAAGCCATCTGTTTCGGTTTGGGCGTCCTGGTAATATCACAGTTCACATACAAATCAAGTGACTTGTGTAGCGCATATGTATTTGGTGCCCATTTGTACCAATATTCATGTGTTCAAATGAATAAATAGATAAAGTTTCCGAAGATCTTTCACAAGAGTCATTCGTCATCAGGTGAAGAGTCTTAAATAGGACGAGACACGCGTCCTGAATTCCATTGCTAGCCACTATCCATCTTTAGTTTTTTAGTATAGTTGGTTGTGATTGCAAAGATTATTTTATTTCTATTATGAAGGTCCTAGGTGCGAGTCCCTTGTGCGGTATCATGAATGCGTACTGCTGAGTAGTCCCATACTAGGATAAAATGGTCATCCAGTATTTCCACGTTTTCAATGGTAGTCTAAGTTATATAGACTCGTTAATTCAACTGCTTAATACTACAATCTTTAAAAAGCTCTATACTCATAATGAACTAATCATTAGTGGTTGAGATCATGGGTCCATGGAAGCTAGACGCGTGAACGCTTAACCTGTAGACCACTGAGCTGGCATCCGACGATATTAATACCTAACTTTGACCAATTAACGAAATTGAACCACTGTTCACCAATAAGTCCGGGGTTCGAATCCCGCAGACGGTATCTTAGATGCGCATTGCTGAGGAGTTTTGTACTAGTTCTGTACGAAACAACCATCAAATGCTTCCAGGTTTTAAGTAATGATCTAACATCAAATGATTCATGATCTCAACAACTAAGTTATTGTTATAATATCCCTAAAACACCCTTTTCTGAATTATAAGTTATATAATATACCCTTATGGGTCAGGGTAATCTTACACTGGTTTTTAGGAGAACCAGACACCATCCAGACTTTCACGTGGCAACCCAAACAGTATAGCTCAATCCCGTTTAACAGGAGAGCCAGACACTGCCCAGGCTTAACCCAAGCAGTACAAATCAGTCCCACCCTATAGGAGAATCAGACACTATATGGGCTTCAGCGCTACAATCTGAACAGTACAGCCCAATCCTGTGGCGCAACCACTCAGGTACCAAACACCCTGGTGGACCACCCTTTTTTCTGAAATTAATCAATAATTAACAATAATACACATCTTAACAATGGTACTTATATATATTCAATGAATTCAATACTCTTTGCTTGAATTGATTTTCAAGTGGAAAAACTATGAGAAAATTGTTTCTAATTTTGTTTTTTCTAAAGAAAAAAAATGATGGTTAGTTTTTCACATGATCCATTTTGTGTTTTATATTTTTGTATTTTTTTAAAATTTTTTTTGTTATTTTTTGGAAACACTGAAATGTTTCACAAAAATACAAAAAAACTCATTTTATTTGTTGCTTTGAATCAATTAATAGAATGAGAAAAAAAAACAATTATGAGAAAAGAAAACAACACCACCACCACCAGCAGAACAACAACACCACCAAAACAACAACACTAAACAAGTTTTTGTTTAGCAGAAATGGATAGTGGCTGGCAGTGGAATACAGGACGCAGGTTTCGTCCTATTTGGGACTCGTCAGATGGATGTACCTGCATCTCAGAGTTGATGTTCATTTTGGGACTCGAACCCAGTACCCTCGCTTCAAACGCCATCGCGTTATCCACTCGGCCACTGAGTCCTGATAGCCACTTGCTTGTGCGATGGGGTGAAGTTTAAATTCACTTAGTATTGTTTGTTTGAATCTTCCCATCGATTTGTTAGGACTGCAACTGGTCAGTCCACTGCTAGCCACTATCCATTTCTGCTAACCATGCTTGTGAATTAAGGTATATCGAGGCAATACGCACAGTATGCACATATGCCAATTAGAGACTGACCAGTTGCAGTCCTAACAAATCGATGGGAAGATTCAAACAAACAATACTAAGTTGAATTTAAGTTTTTGTTTATTCATTTTAGTGCATTTTATAATTAAACACAATGAATAGTATATGATACATTAACTACAATTTGATCAGTCTCTTGTTGGTATATGTACATCATGTGCAAACTTCTTCGATATAGCCTGAAGTCACAAACATCATAAGAATAGAGGGATAGTGGTTAGCAGTGGAATTCAGGACAATGGGAAGTAAACAACAACAAGCGAATTTAAACTTCACCCCATTGCACAAGTAGGTGGCTATCAAGACTAAGTAGCTAAGTGGATAACATGATGGCGTTTGAATCAAACGGTACTGGATTCGAGTCCCAGGGTGAACAACAACTCTGAGATTCAGGTGCATCAAGCTGTTGAGTCCTAAATAAAACGAAACGCGCATTCTGGATTACACTGCTAGCCACCATCATGCATCTTTGCTTATAATAGGTTTTTTTTAAAAGAAATCTGATTATGGATAAACACATTTTATAAAAGATTAGTTGAATTCAATAATGATACTTTTATTACTAAATGTATCTTAGTAACATACTGTGATTGGTATTGGTACTTAAATAAATGTTTAGTTGTCATCGGAATTTGTTTTTTCTTCAATATAATAAATACTAATTGACATAAAGGAATTAGTGATTTCTATTTTATAGATGTAACAATTATGATTATGAGTCAATTGAAGGTAGACCACCATCGAAAACCTGGGACTGGTAGGTCCTGAGTTCGAATCTCGTGAGTGCGGGATCGTGGATGCGCACTGCTGAGGAGTCCCATAATAGAACGAAACGGCCTTCTAGTGCTTCAGGTTTTCGATGGTGGTGTAGCTTCAATTGACTCATGATTTCAACTATGAAAATACTAAATTCTCCACAAAACCCCTACCGTATTATGATTATAACAATAAATTATATTCATTGTAGTGTTGAGTAGTGACGATAGTAAAGCCTTAGTCAGTTATATTGTATACTGTGTTGTTAATCTTCTGAGATACAATAACATTTTGAAATTTGATCACTCGAACTCTGTTCAACTTCAAGATTGAATAACTGGAATCATTCTAGGACATCTTCTAAAAAAGGG